ATATATATTTATCTATATAGTATGTATGTGCTTGACAAGTCAGACTAAAGTAAATGTTTATGCAAAATGTTTTGGCCCACATTTTGTGCAGACATTTGACATCCGAAATTCCATCTTCGACTTTTTTCCTGCTTGTGTTTGTGTGTGTGTGTGTGTGTGTCTGTGTCAAAGCAAACCTTTTTTATTACATTTAAATAATTTGATTGCAAGTGCTGACAGGGTCCGGTCGAAGCGTTTAAACTGAAAACCTTTTTATTGTTATTATACGCTTTCGTTTTTTTTTTCTTTGCTTCGTTCGATTTTTTTTTTTTTTTTTTTTTTTTTTTTTTTTTTTTTTTGCAACAGTTTTCAATTCAATTTAATTCACTTTGCGCTCTGTGCGGGCCTCAGATACATTTGCTACAGATACATTTTCTTATTTAATTTTTTCCTTGCCGCCTTTCGCTTGTGTACTCCGTTTTATTTCTTGCAGCATAAAAATTTATTATCATAATAAGCAGGCGAGCCGAAAAGGCCCAGCTTCCCATATGAGCAATACATGTACATATACATCTATATAGATATAGATATATATTTTCTCTTTTTACTCCTTTGTTGTTGTTGTTTGTTGCTGCAACCCTCAAATGTTTTTTATGTCTGTTGTTTTTTTGTTTTGATGGAAATTCGATATTTGCAACACGTATTGAATTTTGATCAGTGCCTAGTAAGTAATATACCCCATATATATCTTGAGTAATATTTTTTGTACTTTTCTGCTTTTTGTGTTTTTTCTTTCTCTCTCCTGCCTACATTGATTTAAATTGCGTGAAACTAATTCGGTCGCTATTGATTTTGTCTGCCAAGGCGAAATGTAGCACAACTGAGCCGCAGATGCGTATCTGCAAACAATTAAGAAAATTGTTAAATGAATTTTACGTAAAGAACAACAACAAAATTCCATAGCTCAGCACACACACACACACACACAGAGAAACTTCCTTCAACTGCTGGCACAGTAGCTGCCCATGTCTTCTGCCATTTGTATCTAGATACGCGCATTTAGTGGAGGGTTCCGCAGCCTGCGTGTGTGTCTCCCTCTCAATGTGTGTGCATGTGTGTGTGTGTGCCCATGCATGCGCTGTTTCTTTGTAGGTTTTTGTGTGTAATTCTATTAGTTGTTGCAAGTTTGTTGTATGTGTGGCACGGCTCTCTTTTGACGCAAACAGCCAACGACAAACCTCAATGAAAGCAAATTAAAAAACTTTTGCCAAGTGCGGAAGGGCAAGCGCTCGGGCTTCCCATTGAGTTAACAAACGAACGAGCACTAGTAGCTGTGTCCCCTCTCTGACTATTTATTTCAAGAATCGTTTTGTTAACCGGCAAAACGAGTGAAACTGTTTCTACTTTTTCTTTTTCGCCGTACCTCTATTTTTTAGCAAAAGCTGTAGCAGTAGCAGAGTAGTTGGTACGAAATCTAACTGAAATGAAGAGAGAGTCTAGTGGGTTGTGCTCTAATAGTAATTAATTACTTTCGAAAATTCTTTGAATTACTATTTTAATTACAATTGCTTTTGCCAAAGGGAAAATTTGAAAGCAAACTGATTTCAGCGCTTTAATTATTTATGAATTTTGGACTAGGTGTAAGTATACTGTATATATAAAAACAAAATAATCTTCATTATCTAAAAACTATATGAAAATATATCAGAAAGATATAAATATAAAAATTTTAAAAATTTCATGCTTATAAAAATTAAATAAAATCAAAATCAAAATTAAATAATATTATGAAGTAGCTAAATAAATAGTAAAATGTTTTTAACATATTACCTTTTATTTTTTTTTATAAAATAAAATGCAGATAAATTAAATCTTTTGACCGCAATAGCAAATTGATGACCTCTTATTCTTCTATACAAAAATATATTCAAGGTCACACCTTTCATGGGCATCTTGTGTACTATATCATTTTCATGATATTTTCCCCATAGTAAATCATTCCTCAAGCATAATAGGAATCTAATGAAATGGCCTATCTTATTTAAGGTCAAGAACTTAGCTTGATGCTAAAAAGCAGCTTTGTCAACTGGATACCATTAGACATTGTCTATTCTCCAGTTTAAAGAACAATTTATATATTTTTTTTAAAGTAAGCTGCTAGGATTTTTTTAAGTTTAAGTATTTTTTTCCTTTTAGCGCGTTCCCACTGTGCCGTCAACTTGTGCACATCAAAAGTAGCGCCTACTGCTTACTTACTCAGCTCTTTTTCACTTTGGTAGCACTCGAGAGGCTGAGCTTGGCATAAATGCCAAAAACCCATCATAGAGAATGTGCCTAAGCGACTATGTGAATCGTGTATGAGTGTGCGAGTGTGCAAGTGTGTGTGTGAGTGTATTTGCTACCCTTCAATTTGATGCAGAGACATGCCGTCATTTAGGCAGACAAAACACTCCGCAAACCCAACTGACTGACTGACTGACAGTCCGACCAGMCAGACTCTAACCGACCGAGAGCAACAACCACTGCAGAACTACTATGTGAAAGAGCGAGAGAGTGAGAGAGAGAGAGAGAGAGAGGCAGCTAGACGAATGTCTGCAGTGCGAAGCGCATTTGTATTTTGATTTCAAATATATGTACATATAACATTATATAGATATATATTTTATAGAGTGAGGGAGAAAACAAAAAATGATTTATCACTTTGGTGCGGCGTGTATCTGAGTTACGTTTGCTCAGTTGACTTTGACAGGCCGCCGACTGCGTACGGCACAGCATCAGACTCAGCCTCAGTCTCAGCATCTCTTGCACCTCTCCACGCTCTCCCACATCAGAGGCAGAGGCAGAGCCAAAGGCACCGCTGCCCCTTGCTCCACATAGTTGGCCGCACTGCGTGAGGATTACAAAACAGCAACTCATGTGCATGATGAATTAAATTAGCAAAAAAAATATATAATAATAATAAAAATAAAAAACAAAGAAACAAAAAACTGAAATAAAAATCTGCCTGAACATTTTTAAAATACCTAGCGCAACTTCATCATCATCTATTATGATGATCATTATTAAAATATGAAAAAAACTCAACATGTTTTTTCTATGATTATAAAAGCTTTTCATGAGCACGCAAACCTGCCCCAACATTGAATGGAAGGAGTCAAGGCGATATATTAAATATATTATATTGTTTTCATATGTTTGGATAGAAAATGATGTCTGACTTATTCAATTTCATAGAAAATCTAAAATGAATTGGGCAGAGTTGACGAGTCTGTTGCAGACACTATGCAATCTTTTGGCTCAAAATATTTATACTCACCAAAGACAAAGAGGTGCTGAAAAAGTAGAATTTATAATCCATGCACATTTCCCTTAGCCGTTGCCCAACACTAAAATAAATGCAATTTTTGTTTTTAGTTTTTAAAAAAAGGTTTTTCATTTCATTTTCCATGTTGCTTTTGTTTGCTTGCGAAACAGAAAAATATCTTTGTTTGTCGTACATAGATGTATATAATAGTTACATATATATATATAATATATACCTATATGATGTATATCAATATATAAATAGTTATTCACAAGAATTCGAATTATTCATAGAGTACATTATGTAAGAGTGGCATTAAATGATAACTTAAAACGTAGCATTCTTTTAATCATATATCATATAATATAATACAAAATAAAAATAAATAACAGTTTTGGGCTTTCATACTGGTACAAGTGTTTGCTTCTCCTCTATCTCTCTCTCTCTCTCTCTATCTAACATCGGCTAGCTCCTGCTAAAGTATTTTCTTGTTTGTTTATATGCTGTTTAGTTTGAAACTGTTTTGCTAAAAATTGTATGACGAGTAGGCGAGTTTACGATCCAAAATATGACATATACATATACTTATATATATATTTTTTTAATATTTTCTCTTTTACTTTGTTGCTTTGAAATAAATGCTCATAAGTGTTGGTATCCTTCTCATGTCGTACTTTCTATAGGCAGTTAAACATTTACTGTTGTGTGTGTATCAGTATGTGTGTGTGTGTGTGTGTATATAAAGTTTATCTCATATAGTTTAAATATATAATATCAGTTAGTATCTATTTTCTTTAGTTTTTTTACAGTCACATATATATTTAGTATATATTTTAGTATATTTTGTATTTATATCGTGTATACGCCATGTAGTTGTATCTTTGCAAATGCTTTAACCCATTTATTACTCAGCTATTAATTATCATTATCATTTTTAAGTATCTGTATTATTATTACAATATTTTGGTAAGCGTAAATGTTTAAAATGAGCTTTACTGCATAGTTTTATATATATGTTGTTTGCTAGCTAATTATTTAATGCTTATTTTCTTTTTTTTTTGCTTTTTTTCTTTACACAAATTTCAAACTTTCTGCTTGTGTGTGAGTGTGTGTGTTTGTGTGTGAATTAATTGTAGGAGACTACGTATTTGCAGTGGCATTTACTTATACTTACGCATATATCATTAGGTATGTATATAACTATTTTAGGCATATCCAGTGTGTTTATGTTTGTTTATATACAAGGATCTACGCTTTTAGAAGGGAGTAGAGACTATAGAGCGGAGCAAAGAGACATCTTAGACTTTATTTTATCAATTTTTACAAGTAGTTAAGCGATAGAAAATAGTTGTGGAAACCTTTTCGTCAGTCAGAAGAAGATGTGCGAAAACAAAGAATTAAGCAATGTTTCAAGTTTAGTGAATATTAAAAGCCAGTCTCTTTATAAGCTGAATGTAGGAGTTGAAAATAGCTTAAGTAAATAAGTAAAAGTAAAGTAAATTGATCAAGCAACATTTGCATTAGGCGCTCACGCAAATATCTCACACTTTGCAAATAGTTTGAGCTGCGAAATCAGTTGGGTTGACGGCACACTTCATAAATCTAAATCTCATTCTAGTTATTTGTTGGTCTAACTGATTAAAAGCACATTAAAAAGTTAGCGCTGGCAAATGCACTAAACGCATTTTCCCAGCTCAAAAGGGAAAATGAACAAACGAGCGAGCCAACGAATGACTGAATGAATGATTGAGTGAATGAATGAAAAGTTTTGTGCAACTCGACAGAGCTGCAACTTTTTGGGGGCAAAAACTTGACTTTGGCTCTCTCGAGCAAAACACAACACCAACTTGACATCGCCTCGCCGGGACGCAGCCTGACTCTCGCTCAGCACAAATCATGCAACACATGCGTCTTCTTACATAAACACACACGACGGGCGAATGCGAGTGCAACTGTATTCTGTATCTTTGTATCTGCAGTCGTGTGCCTCCATGTGTGTGTGTGTATGTGTGTGTGTGTTTAATGTACTTGGATTTATGTTTATACAGTGCACTAAAATGACTTTACACTGGGTAAACAAAATATTTGTTACGCTGCGCGCATTTCCGGGGGAAAATTGGGGGGAAGAGCTTCCCTATTGTGTGTTTCTGTTTTTCTTTGGGGTTTTTGTTTGACTGCAATATTTTGGACTCTAGACAGAATTTATAATTTGCCCCCAACACTCTCACTCTCTCTGCCTTCCTCCAACTCTAACTCTACATAGTTCTCTCTCCCTTTGCCATGCACCCTTTGCTGTATGTCTCTCTCCCTCTCCCCCTCTCTCTCTTTCTCTCTCTCACTTCATCTCTCTCTTAATTTTAGCTCGCACATATTTTAGTAATTAAAATCATGCACCAGGAACCAGTCCCTATAGAAATCACTGTCACTCTGTCCAACTGCTGGACAGGCATGCACCTCTACTTCTCCCTCTCACTACCTCTCCCTCTCTCACTCTCTCTCTCTCTCTCTCTCTCTTTATACCAGATACGCCTGCACATGTGGACCTTGCTGTTGACCACTCGCCTGCTGCTGCTGCTGCTGTTGAGGATTGGGCTTGACCGCTGTGCTGGGATTCAGTGTGCCCGCATGTGGCGTCTGCAGCTGCTGCTGCTTGGGCTGTGGCCGCCAGGTCTGTGCCCGCTGCTGGGTAACCTCGGCACTAGCTGCTCCAGTCGCTGCCGGCATCATTAGCATGTGCTGCTCGTTGTCCAGCGTGGAGTAGTCCGAGTCGATGCTGGAGTAGATGTGCTCCGAGGGCGGACGCATGCCGTGATGCTGATAGTACTGCGCGTGCAGATGATGCGGTCCGCCCGGATTGACGCCCACGCCCACACCCTCCGCCCGTTCGCCGCGGCGCTGCGGCCGTGGACTGGGCGTGGCCGTTGTGGCCGTCGAATAGTTCTGCTCGGCTGCAGCCACCGAAGCGGCAGCAGCAGCCGCCTCCGCCGGTCCACAGTAGGCAGGAGGCGGCGCCTGGCGGTAGAGCAGGCCCGGGCTGGCCGGCTGCTTGATGCGCTCGTGGTTGTGGTCGAGCGTGTAGTTGTTGCCCCGGTAGGTCGGGTAGTCCACGGGCAGGGCGTAGCGCAGCTTCTCCCAGAAATGGCGATCGGTGCGGCGTATGCGATGCACCGCCGAGGTCTTCAGATAGGGCAGCAGCTCAATGTCGCTCTCCGCCTCGAAGGCCACCTCGGGCTCCTCGATGATGACCAGCTTCTGCGGCCGGCCTCGCAGCGCGTCGTGCAGGGATCGGCGCAGCTCGCACCTGGACCACTCCGTCTGCAGGAAGTTGCGTGTCAGCAGGATGACCACTCGCCGGGACACGCGACTCGCCTCCAGCAGCTGGTAGTGGGTGGCATCGTGGGCCAGGTCGCGGTGCTGCAGGCACACACGCAAGGCCGGCCGGCCCGTCTCCAGCTCGCTGGCCAGGTGCTGGCACACGAACTCCGAGTCCTTGGCCGAGTGCAGCAGCAGAGCGTCGTACAGCTTCTCCGACTCCTCGCAGCGCGGCCCAAACACACGCACGCCGTAGTGTGCGAAGAGCCAGATGCGCAGCGACTCCCTGAACACGAACACAATGATGATGACGACGAGCAGAAAGACGAGCGCCAGGGCGGCGGCCAGCAGCGGTATGTAGGACTCGGGAATGCCGTGCTGCAGCATCGAGCCGCCCGAGTAGTAATCCGTGCAGGCGGCGCCCGTCGAGTTGAAGTCCAGTTCGCGCTTCTGGGTGCCCGCCGCCGTCGAGCTGCTCTGCTCGTAGGCCGCCGTGTTGGGCGCCGCCATGCAGTAGATGTCCTGCGCGTCCTGCACAATCAGGGCGTTGTCGGCCACGTAGGAGGTGAGCGCCTGCAGGAACTGGCAGCGGCAGCTCCACTGGTTGCGGCCCAGCCAAATGGCGCGCAGCCGCTGGCCAAAGTGCGTCGCGTGCAGCTGCCAGATGGGCAGGGTGACCAGCCGGTTGCCGTCGAGGCGCAGCAGCTCCAGGGAGACCAACGGCGCCAGCGTTCCGTTGCCAATGGTGGCCAGTTGGTTGTTCTGCAGGTGGAGCTCCTTCAGGGCGGACAGCTGCTCGAACTCGTAGCCGTGCAGCGTCTGCAGGCGGTTGTCGGAGAGCTGCAGCAGCTGCAGCGTTGCCAGACTGGCGAACGTGCGATTCTGTATGGACGCCACCTGGCTGCCATTGACGTAGAGGGCCTTCAGGTTCTTGCGCCCGATGAACGCGTGATTCTTGAGCACGGGAAAATTGTTGCCATCCAGGTAGACGATGCTCGAGTCCATGGGCACGCGGCGCGGCAGCTCCATGGTCAGCTGGTTGCCGCAGTCGACCACGTTCGTGGACCAGATCTGATCGTGGTAGCAGGTGCAGTTGTGCGGGCAGGTCATCTCGCAGTCGCAGGCATCGAAGTCGCAGCAGTGGCACAGGGCGAAGCAGTGCGACTCGTACCGGCAGAGGAAGTCCTGCGGCCGCAGCGCACTCAGCGGACGCACTGCAGCGCCGCGGGCATGCGGCATCACGCACTCAATGTTGGGCATGTCCATGACGCGCGGATGCTGCCGCGTGGTCAGGTTGTTGATGCGCTGCAGCCAGTCCATGGTGCAGTCGCACTCGAACGGATTGCCGCCCAGGTAGAACTCGGGCAGCGGCTTCGGCGCCAGCACCGGGGCAATGCGCAGCTGCTGGAGCTGCAGCTTGCTCAGCTGATTCGCATAGAGATCGACGCGCGCCAGATTCGCTTTGTCCACAAAGGCATTGGGCAGCACGTTGCCAATCAGATTGTTGTTGATGAACAGCAGCTCGATGGTGTTGGGAATGGACATGGGTCCGATCTCCGTGATGCGGTTGTGGCTGGCGTCCAGCGTCTTCACGCGTATCTCCTCCTGCAGCTTGTAGTAGTTGCCGAGCGCCTCGATGTAGTTGCCGTGTATGTCCAGCCACTTCAGGTTGGAGGGGATGAAGGCGTAGTCGAACCAGACCAGGTGATTCTCCGACAGATTCAGCCAGAGCAGCGAGACCAGCGTGGCAAACACTCCATTGATATCCGAGAGGAAATTCCGGTCCAGGCGTATGGCCTCCAGCTCGTAGTTCTTATCGAACGCGCCACGCTCGATGCTCTGGATGCGATTCTTGGCCAGATTCAGCACACTCAAGCGGGGCAAGTCCGCAAACATGCCCACCGTGATATTCCCGATATGGTTGTCTATCAGACGCAGTCCGGTCAGCTGGTGCAGATTCTTGAAGCTCTGGTTGTCGAAGGTGCGTATCTGATTCTCGCCCAGGTCCAGGGTGCGCAGCATGGCCAGATCCTGCAGAGCGCGCGGCACCTCGTTCAGCTGATTGGAGCTCAGGTCGAGCTCCTTCAAGTCCGAGCAGTTCTTGAACACGGCCGGCTCCACGACGCTGATCAGATTGTTGTTCAGCGTCAGCTTGGAGAGCACATAGAGTCCATTGAAGAGCTTGTCGTCCAGCGTGTGCAGACGGTTCTCGGCGAGATTGAGGGTGTGCAGGTTGTAGAGGGGCAGGAAGGCATTGTCCTCGATGTGGCCAATCGAATTGTTGCGCAGGTTCAGGATCTGCAGGAAGTACAGCTCCTTGAAGGTGCGATAGTCGATGCGGGTCAGCGCATTGTGAGCCAGGTTAAGGACAATCAAACGGATGAGGCCCGCAAAGGTGGTGTTGTCCACGTGGTTGGAGGTCAGCTGGTTGCCCGACAGATCCACCACGAGCAGCTGCTCCAGCCGATGGAACAGGCCCTTGGGCAGCTCGTAGAGCTCATTGTTCTGCAGGTGGATCTCACGCAGCTCCTTGCTGCCCGCGAACAGCCCCTCGGGCAGCGTCTCCAGATGGTTATTACTGAGATTAACAATGCGCAGCGAGGCCAAGCCAGCCAGCGCCTCGCCCGACAGCTCCGATATATTGTTGTGCTGCAGATTCAAGTGCTGCAGGCGCCGCAGCCGCGAGATGCCCCAGCTCTCTGTGATGGAGCGCAGCTCGTTGTAGCTCGCGTCGAGCAGTTGCAGCTCGCTGCCGCTGCTGCTGCTGCCACTGCCACTGGCACCGCTGGCACCACCGTTCGCACCACAGTTCATGTCCGCAAAGCCCAGCTGCTCGGCGGTGCGAATGCGATTGCGTGTCAGGTTGAGCGTCTGCAGATTGCCCACGGGGCAGAGGAAGCCGCTGGGCAGGGCACGCAGATTATTGTCGCTGAGATCCAGCTCCGTCAGCTGCTTGAGGCCGTTCAGCGAGTCGGGATAGAGCTCCAGCGCCTTGGCCGGGCCCCATTCGGCGTTGCGTGTGCTCAGCTTGAGGGCCTTGAGCGTGGTGAGGCCCTCGAATGCATTGTTGGGCAACTGGAGCAGCTTGCAGGACTCCAGCCGCAGCGTGTCCAGCGTCTGCAGGCGGGCGAACACCGCCACCGGCAGCTGCGACTCGAACAGATACAAATCGCTGCATTTGATGGTCAATTGGCTGCTGCCATCGGCGCCTTGCAAGTCGAGGCCGGGCTGTCGTTCGATCAATCGCAGTGAGCAGTGAACGGAACTGGTGCCGTTATACGTCCAGGTGCACTGATTGTTTGGCCCGCTGTGCACCGGCGCCGGCGAGGAGGCGGCCATTGGCTGCGCGGCGGCCAGCAGGGAGCTGTAATCACTGGACAAACTGACGCTGGAGCCGAGCATGGCGCTGGCCGCGTTCTTGTCGCTGGCATCCTTGGGCTTGGGCGGCACGGCGCCCAGGCATCCGGCGCAGCCAGCGAGCAGGAGCAGGCTCAGCAGCAATAGCAGCCGCAGCTCCATTGAATTTTCGGGCTTCGCTTGGAGTCGGGATGGGGGATTTGTTCAGTTGCCTAATTAGCTGCGTTTTGCTCAATTTTCACGTTACTCGTTTTCTCGCGTTTCACTCAGTTTTTCATTGAAATTGACATTTTTTGTAAATTCGTTTTTCATTTATTATTATTTATTTTGCCACTGCACTTGTTCAATTATTCTTGAATTTTTGCTTCATTAATTTTTATAATTCACTTCACTGTATATCTTTTTTTTCTGTTGTATTCACTTCATGTTTTCGGCTTACAATTTCTCAACTCTCATTTTCAACGTTTGAAACGCTTTGCGATTTTATTTTATTCTTTTTTTTTTGGATTTTTAACTGAATTTTGTGCGTGCTTCACACGTCCGTACCGTACGGCGCTCGCACTCGAACTGTTTGTTGGTTCGCTAAGCCAACTGGCCGTAGACCGATAGGAAAATCCATCCAACAGCCGAATAACTGCAAAGACGAAACAACGTGTAGTTTACGCACGCAGAGAGCGAGAGAGAGAGAGAGAGCGTGTGACTGAGTAAAGCGCGGCAGTCACGAACGAAGGAGGCGCATGTGCTCGTCGGGTGGGTTTTGCCTTAGAAACGAACCCAACTAACGATAATATCAAAGAGCGCTCGCATGCTTACGCTCTGGCGCGCTCTCTCGTTCGCAGTCGCTCCCTCTCCCGATTTAGTTACTAAAACTGCCGCTGCACGACCGAATGGCGCTAGTGTGCCGCAGTAAATGAGCGCAATTCGTGTGGCGAGCAAATGAGTGAATCCACTCATTGCTAGACTGAGTTACTTTTGAGTCACTTTTCCTGTTGTGGCTTGCATGAATTGAATGAGAAATAATGAATAGGCGAGAGATTTATATTGAAGTAGAGATAGAATGGGTTTTTGTAGACCTTTTGTATATAAATATATTTGCATGTCTATACAACTTACAAAAATATATTTTATTATTTATTTTCTACAAACATTTATAAACGTTTTGTAAATTTATTTTACACCATCAATTTTT